AAACTTAGTATGAAGGCTCTGTTGTAGTTGTACACTAGTATGCATGATGCATGGGAACTACCATCTGTAGCCAATACTCTGTTACTTCATTGGTCTGGCATGGCATCAAGTGATTCATCTATAGTAAATCCTACTGATGCTTTGTTTCGGAATATCAAGGTTCTTCAGCACGCACCCAGTTGGATCTCCTCGAACAACTGACATCTTCCACTTCCTCTACAAGCGGTAAGCACAATAACTCGAAAAATTATATAACTTTGTTTCTATCACTATCTTCCCTTGATTTTCCTAAATTTTTTGAAAGGCTACGAGAGTGATGGTTACACTCCAAGGTCTACAATCAGAGAACAACTTTCTGAATTGATCAGAGACAGAGATGGTGAATTCATCCTTCCATTGGGTAAAAAACTGAAAGCAAGCTTGAATTCCTTGACCATCTCACAAAAGAGAAACATCAAGAGACAAGCTTACCTCAATGAAGTCTCTCGAAGAAATGATTCAGTTTTCTTTGCAACCATTGGAGCATTTGTGATTCTACCACCTGTCATCATTTTGTCTGTGGCTATATTAACTGGTTATGTCCAACTCTTCCCATAATAATGTATATTCTTCTTTGATCATGTTACTGTATATAATAGAGAGTACCTCATGAATGAACTCTTTTGGTATGTATTGAGGATCACCTGCTAAGAAAACATGCTTTTGATTTCTAACTTCAATCCAACTACATCCGGGTTCCTTTACAAGCTTCTTATCTTTTATCATAGCTCGTATTTTGGCCACATCTTCCCACATCTTTGCAGTTGCAAAAGTTTCAGCAAGAGCAATATGCGCAGCTGAATTGTTAGTTTCCAATCGAAATATTTGATCTGCTGCTTTTTTTCCAAGCGCTGGATCTCCATGCATTTTGCAAGCTCCTAACAATGCTCCCCATAATGTTGCATCTGGCTCAATTGGCATTTTCTTGATTAATGCTTCAGCTTCATATAGAAGACCTGCTCGTCCCAAAAGATCTACCATACAAGTGTAATGTTCCCTGTTTGGATTGATATTACTGTCTTTTTCCATCTCATCAAAAAACTCCTGCCCTTTCTTGACCTCTCCAATGTGGCTACAAGCTGAAAGTAGACTTATGAAAGTAACATGGTTTGGCTTCACTCCTGAATTCTGCATTTCCTCATAAAATGTTAAGACTTCATTTCCTTGTCCATTTTGTGAATAGCATGTTAATAAAGCATTCCAAGATATCATATCAGGATAAGGCATGATTTTAAAACACTTCTCTGCTTCGTTAAGGCTTCCACATTTTCCATATACTGAGATTAATGCATTGCTTACCCCAAGATCTAACTCGAACCCTCTTTTTATGACTCGGCAATGGATTGATCTGGCTTGCTCCAATGCTTCATTTTTAGCACAAGCAGTAAGTGCACAGTTATAGGAGAAGTGGTCAGGCTTAATCTTTGATCGTTCCAAATCATAGAATAAAACTAGCGCGTCATCAAGAGAACAAGAATTTGGTTTTATACTTTTCCCATTCTGAAGGTAACCAGACATCATTGTGTTCCAAGATATTAAGTTTTTTTCTGGCATCCTATCAAAGATATAGCGTGCTTCATCTAAATAATCAACATAGATATAAGCAGACACCATAGTTGTCCACGAGACCACATCAAGCCAATTCATCTCTTCGAACACAAGACGGGCTTCTTCAATATTACTTTGTTCCCCGTACATTTTGATCAATGAGTTACTTATTGTAAGATCTGATTCTAATCCTACTTTCATCAAATACCCATGAAAAGTCCTTCCTTTTTTAGTATACTTCACAATTGAACAGCCACCCAATAGGCTTGTCATTGTGAAGCAATTAGGTGTCATATCCTCCTTTATCATATCAACAAAAAGATCAAATGCTCGATCTTGCATTTCATTCTGCACATAGCTAGTGATCATAACATTCCTAGAAACTATATTCTTCTCCGGCATTTCTTTAAAAACCATCTCCACATCTTCAACATTACCATTCATTGCAAAGCCTGACAGTAATATGGACCATGAGACTGCACTATGCTCTGAAATCTCGTCAAATGATTTACAACAAGCTAACATGTCACCATGTTTAGCATACATATCCATCACTGTGCATTTAATCATAATGTTATTTATCCACGATGATTTCACCAAAAGACCATGAACTCCGATACCCACCACAAACAAACTACTAAAACCAGAGCATGATTTAAGAACCGCAATAAAAGTTATCTTATTAGGAGGCTCGCCTTCTTGCCTCATTCTACTAAATAATTTAAGAGCTATTTCGTCATTACCTTGTATCTGATATCCATTGATCAGTGAATTCCACGAGACAGAGTTCCTCCTTGGAATCTTTTCAAATAACTCCAAAGCTTTCTTCATTTTTCCATTGGAGGCATACCCGGAAACCATAATGGTCCAAGAGAACACATCTTTATCAGACATTCCATGAAATATCCTCTCTGCATCCTCAATACATCCACACTTGAGATACAAGTTGATAAGAGAATTCATTGCTGTGATATCCATGGGCACATTCCTCTTGAGCAAGAAAGCATGGAGTTGGGTACCGTTGTCCAGTGCATTGAGATCGAGTGAGGATGATAATGCTTTTGAGATTGTATACACATCTGGGTCTGACCCAGATGCCTGAAACTGTCTAAAGAGATGGAAGCGTTCATCGATTAAAGGTTTGTAGGAATATGGGCTTTGTTGGTAGCTGATGGAATTTGGCAAAGAATGGAATTGGGTACTGCTAAATGATCTAGAGAGCGAGGAAATGATTGTTCTTGTGGTGTTTATAGTTGGTCTGGGCATTTCATCGAACACGTCTAAGGCAAAACAAGCGCTGCATCGTTCCAAGCGCACTTGTCAAAATTCTGATTATTGCTGAAATTATGCAATAAGACAGTCAAAATAAGAAATTGTTTTTCAATGAAAATTAAAGAGAGCATAATAGAAGACAGAAGATTTTTGGAAAGAAGATGACGGTTTTCTTCTTCACTGTCTACGAAGTCTAATGGAGCTCCTGGAGACTTATACTAATACTTTAATGAAGCGTATTTAGGTTCCTGAAATTGGATGTCCATCTAAGTTCAAGCCTTGGGTGAGCTTTGCTAATGGCAGTGTTTTCAGAGAGAGCTTTGCCAAGGGCAATGTTTGCCTCTGTGACAGCGCGAGCGAGCGAGAGAGAGAGAGAGAGAGGGAGGGAGGAGAGGAGAGGGAGAGAGAGGGAGAGGGACTGTGCGTGTTCACGATGAGAGGGAGTCTTTTTTTTTCAGTTAAGGGCCTCTTTGTTTGTAGGGAAGTAATTGTGAAGTAGCTGAAGTAAAAGAAATAGAGGTTACTTCTGCTACTTTCAAGCAAAAAAGTATATTTGGTTTTCTGAAAAACTTATTTCCAATACTTCCCTAAATGATTATGTGGCGCCTACGTGTCATCCTTACTTCCAAAAAAATTTTCCAATCCTTAATACTCAGAAGTAGCTCGGAAGTAGTTGAAATGCATATTAATTATGACATAAATAATTTTTTTATTAATATTTCCTTTATTAGTTATTTCTAACAACTTTTCCTTGATAAAATTACTTCCTAATAATATTTTCAAATGTTATCCAAACAAAAAAAGTAAATGAAGAGGAAGAAGTTCTACTTCCATTACTTCTAAAAATATATGAAACAAACAAAAAAAATGTTATTTCCCCTACTTCCTACTTCATAGCTTTGAAAGTTACTTCTATAACATACTTCTTACTTCTAATACTTCCATTATCCAAACGGGCCCGGGGCTGTTTGTCTACAAAAAGGAAAATGATAGGGGCACACCCCAATTAGGGGTGAGCACGGTTCGGTTCGGATGGGTTTTTACCAAAATTTGAATAACCGAACCGAACCACCTACAATTCAAAACCGAACCGATCCATTGCAAATCGGTTCGGTGCGGTTCGGCTCGGTTTGTTCGGTTCTAACTTAATCAAGTATAACTTCACTTCAATTTATCTTTTATATATTCTTATTACCCTATGCCAGCATGTATTTATTTTTTAACTTCACTTCAATTTATTATTCTTGCTCATGTATGTATATTGTTTTTAAGTGAAGTAACTTGTCCTTTTGGATTAAATACTAGACTCTGACGTTGTAATTTTTTAGTAACGGACTTGCTTTGTCTTTGGGTAAACAGGTAGGGTTTGAGGTAGGGGAATATATTCGGTTGGTTCGGGTCGGGTCGGTTTGAAAAATTATCGACCCGACCCGAACCACCTTACTCATAAAACCGCTTTTTTCGGGTCGGTTCGGGTCGGTTTGGTCGGTTTTTTCGGTTTGAACCGAACCGTGCTCACGCCTACCTCCAACCACATTCCAAACCACACCCCCTCTTTCATATGCTACAGTGTACCTGGTCCCACATGAGATTTTAAAATTTTAAAATTCCATGTGGGCCCTGTGCACTGTAGCATATGAGAGAGGGGGTATGGTTTGGGATGTGGTTAGGGGTGTGCCCCTAGTGCCACCCCTGCGAAAATAAGGAGAGAGGGGAGTTGAAATCTGATAAGAAGGCCACATGTTATTTTGGTTTCAAGACATTTTCATTCTGTGTTTAGTTTGCTGGGTGATTTAAAGAAATTTGGGTGCAATAGGTTGCTATATCAGATTTTTAAGAAAGCTCATCTCAGATCAAAAGTGGCTGAAATAAGTTGGAAATGTCATATCTGGGCATATTTAAATATTTAAAACACTATTGAAACAACGACTTGAATTAAAGGAGAATATTTAATGTCATGTTGTTGAATATTTAATTAGAAAACTCATTTGATTTCTTGATTTCTGGATGTTCAAACAAACTCAAGAAATAAGAAACAATGTTTTCTAGCCTATGATTTCAATGTGAAACAAATCAAAAAAAAAAGAAAAGAAATGGGGAAACCCTCTGAAATGTCCAGAAATGGTTTCCAGCCTAGTTTTCTGATTTCTTTGTTTTTTTTGAAAATGTACCAAGTAGCTCCTAAGGGTAATTACTTTACGGTTTTTAGATGTTACTTCCTTAAATCTGAGCTATTTTGTATTAGTCCCTCAAATCTGAGTATTTTGATATTAGTCCATCAAATTGTCTAAAGTTGTTGATATTAGTCTTTCTGTTAGGTTTTCTGTTAAAAAACCTAAATCATGGATGATAACCCATAGTTTAATTTGCCCCACCAAACAACTCTCTCTCTCTCTCTCTCTCTCTCTCTCTCTCTCGTATTACCTCTTTCTCTGCTGGGTGATAATAAAGTCACATCTTAGGGCCTATTTGGTTCGTTTCCTTTATTTTCCAAATCTCATTTTCCTTCACTTTCATCATTTTCCATCCTTACAAATCTCCCACATCAACCAATAATATGGTGATAACTCATTTCATCTCATTTCTTACTTTTAAAAATAAACTAAACACAATAAATATGTCACATCAATCAATGTGTCACATCAATCAACTCATCAAACTCATTAAAACTTACCTTTCATCCATTTCCTCCAAAAAAATAAGAAAATTGATTTTCCCAAGTATGGGTCATATCATCCAATAATATAATGACAACAACTCTTCTCTCATCTATTTTCTTAGTTTTAAGAATGAACCAAACACAAGAAGAAAACCTAAACAAGAAAAGTGGAGGAAAACATCAAAAATTACTCATCTCATCCAATAATATGGTGACAACTCATTTTCTCCCCCACTTTCTTTTATAACTTTGACACACCAAACATACGAAAGTGGAGGAAAATATCAAAATTCATCTATATCAATTTTCTTTCCCCCACTTCTCTTATTCAAAAACCCCTTTTACCCCTCAGACCTCCGCCCTCCTTTACCTACAAACGCTTCATGCTGGATCCTCACAACTCTCCACAGCCCGTCGATCTTTTACATGCTTTTGTCAGTATTACATCATCCCCTAACTCAACTCTGGTGTTGAGAAAGAATGGGTGCTGGATGAAGTTTCATGATAACAATGGGTCCCAATTAGAGCTGGGGCTCTTTTGTATCAAGGTTTTGATGGGTTTGAGTTAATATTTTTTGAGTTTTGGTAGGATTGCTGAATTGGGTTTGTTTCGTTTTACCTAATCATGCATTGCGACCCGCAAAAACATCTTTTGTTAGCTCCATGATCACTAACTCCATTTCCAATTGAATTTGAACCCAAAAACTCCATCAACAGCTTGGCGGATCAAGAGGGATTGCGGGTCTAGGCTAGAGAAGGAGAATTAGGGGAGTAGAGGAGTATTAATGGCCTTTTATAGACTCCACCATTGTATAGAGCTGTTGGTTTTTAGGGTCTCCTTGAAATTTCCCGCTGGGGAAGAAGGAAGGTAAAGGAAACGCGTCTGGGTTTTGGAGAGCTGGTTAGTTGGTCTGTTCTAATTAGGTTATAGGTTTGCGTGGGGCATGATTGTCCCATAAATGCCAGAGTTATGGATAACTAAATATTCAACAGCCACTAACGGGTTAAGGGACTAATATCAAAATACTCTACTTAAAGAGACTAGTGTCAAAATAGCTCAGATTTAAGGGACTAATATCTTAAAAAAAACCATTTCCAGTTAAGAGTATTTTAGTAATTTTTTTTGTTAAACATTAAGTGATGGGGGATAAGTTGTAAAAAGTTCAAATTTTGGGGTTTTTTTTATATGAATCCCCAAAATCTTTAATATTTGAATTAGTCCTTAAGATCTTCATAATCTGAATTAGTCCTCCAAGTCTTTAAGCGCTTTGCTATTAGTCCTTCAAATATTTTAAGTGTTTTGAAGTTTGTCCCTCTAGGTAGCACAAATTTGAAAGTTGTGTGTGTGTGGTGGTGGTGGTGTGTGTGTGTGTGTGTGGGTGGGGGGGGGGGGGGGGTGGGGGGGGGGGGGGAGGGGGGTGTTAGGATATGTGAAGCCTAACTATCAGACATGCCCTATGCTTCAGAAGAGAGGAGGAACAAAGTTGGAACAGGAGGAACATGATCGACGACAACGAAGTTCAAGCAAAACGACGAAGGAGACAGTTTTCTGCATCGCGGTCGACCGGCAATGGCGCGGCGGTCGACCGACGTCGTGCACAGCTGGGTGCACAGGCCAGGAGCTCATCGCGGTCGACCGCATGTGGCGCTGCGGTCGACCGCTCAAAGTCCAGAGAGCAGGCCAGAGTTCTGTCTTCGTCGCGGTCGACCGAGCATGTCGCTGCGGTCGACCGCCCAAAGTCCAGAGAGCTCGATCAGGAATAGGATTCGTCGCGGTCGACCGCACGTGGTGCGGCGGTCGACCGGAGTCGGGTTTTGGCCCAGTTTCGAATTTTAACCTGTTTTGTTCTGTTTCCTTTTTTATTGGTTAAACCCTTAAGTCTATAAAAGGGTTGGCTAGGGCATGATGTATTGAGACGAAAATTAGTGAATTTTTCTCCTGCGGCGGCCGTGGACGTAGTTTCTCACATTGAGAAGCGAACCACGTAAATCTTGTGTGTTTGAGATTGTTTGATTTTCTCTCTTCTCTCCTAAATCTCTATTTCCAAATCGCATCAGGGGGGTTGTGCATCCCCAACAAGTGGTATCAGAGCCAGGTTCGGCGCGAGCGATTTGAGGTCAGAGACAATGGGATCTGAGAAGGAAACATCCAAGATTGAGAAGTTTGATAGAACAAACTTCGGGTTCTGGAAGATGTAGATGGAAGACTACCTCTATCAGAAGGATTTATACCTACCATTGGGAGAGAAGCCGACGGATATGAAAGATGCGGATTGGAAGCTATTGGATCGAAAGGCCCTTGGAGCGATCAGGTTGACCTTGTCTAAATCAGTAG